CCTGCCCACGCGTCCTCCTGCCCACACGTCCACCTGCCCACCCTTCCACCTGCCCACGCGTCCTCCTGCCCACCCGTCCACCTGCCCACGCGTCCTCCTACCCACCCGTCCACCTGCCCACGCGTCCTCCTACCCACCCGTCCACCTGCCCACGCGTCCACCTGCTCACGTGCCCACCTGTCCACGAGTCCTCCTACTGACGTACCCACGTGCCCACTCGCCCTCCTGCCCAGGCACCCGCCTGCCCACGCATCTTCCTTCTCTGGGCTCTGGCCCTCACTGGATGTTTGTACCCCAGGCAAAGACGGAATGGGAAGGTGTGGAGAAGAAGTCCCTGGAGGACCTAGCCAGGTGGCAGAAGGAGGTCGCTGTGCACCTGCAGGACATGTGGGAGAAGGTGGACAGCCTCCCCCGGCAGGTGGGTGAGGGCGGAGCCACAGGCCTGGCCTGGGTGGGCACAGCCAGCCTGGAGGGATTGAGACCTCCGGCGGTGGCATGGGTCTAAATTCTTCCCCGCCCCCCGGGGCTGCCCTTGGCCAAACCAGTCCTGGCCGGTGTGGGGCTCCCCTGAGCTGGCCTTGCTGGGGGCCACTCTGCGGCTGCCCCCCACGCTGGGCCCCGTGTTTCAGATAGAAGGCGTCTCAGACAAGTGCACCCTGCACAAGAGCGACTCGGACGTCAGGATCTCTGCCGAAGGCAAGGCGAGGTGAGGCCGTGGGCCCCGGGAGGGGCAGGAGCTCTGCAGACAGTCATGGGCCCGGCTGGCCCCACAGGCCTGGGTGCCATGGCAACCCCCTCCCCTCCCCTGCCTGGGCCTGGCCCAGCTGTGGGCCCCACCCTGGTGCAGCCTGCAGGGCTCCTCGACCCCCCATCACCCTCTGTGGACCCCAGCCTCCCCCACCAGCGGGGCCGCAAGGCTGAGCACCCCTCGAGCTCCCTGAGCCCTGCAGTGGCCCGAGAAGCCACGCCACCTGCCCTGGCGCACCACAGCGGCCCTGCCCCGGTGCCCGCAGGGAGTCCGAGGTTGGGGCTCTGCGGCGGGAGCTGGCCGCCCTGCTGTCATCCGTGCAGCTGCTCAAGGAGGACAACCACGGGCGGAAGATCGCTGAGATGCAGGGCAGGATGGCCACGGTAGCACCCGGCCCAGGGACCCCAGAGGACACCCGCTCCCCAGGGGAGGCCAGATCTGGGACCCCCAGCCCGGGGGCATCTTCCAGCCGCAGGGCAAGGCTCTCCCAACCAGCTCCCTGGGCGGCCGCGGCACGCCTGGGCCTCGGGAAGTTCCGAGTGGGGACACCGGGATGCAGCCCCCAGCGCACTGGGCGCTGACAGCCCTGGGCTGTGGCCGGGACCCCCGGGGGCCACAAGGGGGGGGGCGGGGGGGTCCCTCTTCCCCTCGCTGGGCTTGGCCAGGACCCACAAGAGGACGAGGGCTGTGGCAGGAGGCGGCTGGTGCCCAGGCTCGGAGCAGTCGGGGACTTGGGGGGGGCTGGGGACAGCTGGACACCGGCAGCCTGGCCGGGTCCCTGCCCCGGACAGACGGGGGCTGCGTTCAGTTCCAGAACCAGATAATGAAGCTGGAAAACAGCATCCAAGCCAACAAGACCATCCAGAACCTCCAGTTTAACACGGAATCCAAGCTGGTGAGGGGTCCCCATGGGTGGGGCAGCCCCGCCCCACCGCCCGCCCCACCGCCCACCCCACCGCCCGCCCCACCGCCCCCTGCCTGTCTGCGGCGCCTGGTGGGAGCAGCATCTCCCTGCAGATAAGGGAGATAAGGGCGTGCGCGCCGCCCCGCCCAGGCCTGGCCCCGCGCTGGGCTCCAGGTGACCGGCGCCCCCGTCCACAGCGCTCGCAGGACGCGGCGGCCCGGCGGGAGAGCGCAGGGCGCCTGCGGGGCGAGGAGGGCCCCCGGGCGCCGGCGCTGGGCAGCTGCAAGACCCACACGTCGCAGCCGAGGCAGCGGCTCTTCGTTAAGGACTTGGCCCGCGGCAAGGCGGTCCCCGTGAACTGCTGGGGCCTGTACCAGGCCGTGAGGTGGGCGAGGCCCTCCGCATGGGGGTCAGGGCTGAGGCTGGGGGCAGCTGGCGGGGCGCGGGGGCGGGCGGGGGTCCAGGGCCATGAGCCGCGTCTCTGGCAGGTGGCTGCGGTGGAAGGTGACCCTCCTGAAGCTGGCGGCCAGGCGGAGGCCGGGAGCGGTCCAGGGGCTGCCCCACAGCCGGGCCTGCGCGGCACAGCTCATCTTTGCCTGTCCCCCAGAAATAAACGTGCCTCGACCTTGTCTGGTGGGTCCCCAATGTCTGCGTTGACGTCCTCCCGGGGCCCAGGGGGCTGACCAGGGCTGCAGAGGTGCTGGCAGTGTGGGTGGGGGGCTCAGTCCGTGACCCCCGGGGCTGTTCTTGTCCTGCTCCAGCCCAGAGGCCAGCCGACCCGTTTGGGGTGCCCAGACCCTGCCCGCCAGCCCTTCCCGCCCCCAGCTCTAGCCGGGGAGCAGACAGCCTGTGTCTGTCCTTGTGGCCCTCAATTCCTGCCTCTCTAAGGAACCATCGCTCATCCTGCCAGTGCCGGGGCCACATCCAGCCCCCGCGGCCCTGCCGGGCGCAGGCAGTGGGGGGCCGGCCTGGCCTGGGCTCTGACCTCAGTCACTCTGGCCACTGACCTGGGCTCTTGGGTGGGCCTGGCAGAGCCCGGGCTCCCCGGGAGGTGCAGCCCGTGTGGAGTCCCCTGAGACTATGATGTTGGAGTAGCCGTATCTTCTGCCCAGGTCCTGCCTGCCGTGGGCAGAGCTCTGAGGGCCCCTGAGCCCCCTGGGGGGCTCTGCTGGAACCAAGGGCCGGGGGTGGCCTGGGCAGCCCCTGCTCTTGCCCTTCCCAGCCCTAGAGGCCTCTGGCCGTCACTGCCTGTGCCCACCTGGTCCTGCTGGGGCCACCTAGACGCAGGGGTCCCGAGGCTGTCCCAGGATGGCAGAGGAAGAGGGGCTGCCATAGGGAGGTGGCCCTGCCACCCCCAGCCCGTCTGCTAGGCCTCAGCCAGCTGGGCCCCCTCCAGGGCCTGGGCCCCGGCACCAGGCAGCTCGGGGCAGGCCTCGGCGGACCAGCTGGCCAGCAGGTCGCTGAAGTCGGGTGTGCCAGGGTGCAGCAGGCCCAGGGGGCTGGGGGCCGGCTCCTTCCAGAAGGACGGGGGCAGCTTGCGCTGGGTCATGGGGGTGATGTGGCCATACTTCCGCTCCAGCCTCACGCCGCGGCCCCCCGCCGCCTTGGGCCCCGTGCACCGCCGCAGGCCGTAGTCGAAGAGCTCTGCCAGGGGTCCCAGCGGCTGCGCCCCGTCCCCACCGAGGCCCAGCCTGTGCGCCTGGCCCCCCGGCGAGCAGACCCCGGGCTTGGGGGCCCCCTCGTCCTCCTGGGGCCTGTCCTGGGCCAGGTGCACCAGGTCGGCGTAGTAGAGCCCCCGCGCAGAGCTGCCGGCCGGGCCGTCGGCGTAGACATCGCAGGCATCTGGGTCCTGCCCCCTGTCCTTGCGGCCAAAGTAGCGCTGGATGTCGCTGCTGATGAGCTCGGAGAACCGCAGCAGCCGCAGCGGCGTCTCGGGGCGGCTGGGCCCCTGCGCGGCTGCTTCCGGGGCCGCCTGGGCCCAGCCTGAGCACTGGGGGGCCGGGCTGCAGACCCCTGGCCCCTCACCCTGCAGCTCCTCCTCCTCCTCTTCCTCCTCCTCCTCCTCTTCCTCCTCCTCCTCCTCCTCCGAAGTCTCTGTGGGCTCCAGGTCTGAGGGCAGGAAGGAGCGGTGGGGCGGCAGGGGCAGCCGGAAGTCACACAGGGGCCGGATCACGCCCGCGGCCATCTCTCTGTCCCCCGAGGCCTCCGCGGCGGGTGCTGTCTGGGGAGCAAGCCGGAGGAGGCAGGTGTCTGTCAGGCCTGGCCGTGCCCTGGCCGCCGGGGACCACCACACTCGGACCCCACACTTGTGTGGCCTCCCCTGGAGCCCCCGGCCCTCCTGGGGGCGCTGAGCTCCAGCAGGGGGGAGGCGTGGAGGGAGCCAGGGGCGGCACCATGGCACAGGGCGGGCGGCTGCTGAGGGATGAGACCTGGGAAGTGCAGGCCACGGGTGGGGGTTCCGGGGTGGTAGCTGGCCCCTGGCTGGGGGCAGCCGGTCCTATCTCATGGGGGCGGTCGGGGTCCAGGGAGGGAGCGGGAGTTGCCACTAGAAGCCCCAGGGGTGGGGCTGCCCCCTCCTGGGCTGAGGCGAGGTGTCTGGGCCTGCTGAGCATAGCCCTTGCCCAGGCTGGAGCCGGGGGGCTGGAGGGCGGGCTTTGTGGTTCCAGACCAAGGGACGAGTCTGCCTCTCTGGGGCCCCTGGGGTGCTCAGGGGCTGGGAGGGCCCTGTCTGCCCCACTGAGGGTGAGCTGGGCTGTCCTGTCGGGTCTGGCTGCAGTCGCAGCGCCAGGCCCTAACCTGTTCCCCTCAGCAGGGAGCGGCCCCACCCCAGGCGCCTCCCACTAACAGTGGGGTGGCCACGTCAGAGCATCCTGGAGGGGCCGCAGGGGCCCCAGTGCCTGTCCAGGACACCCCAGGGAAGTGCCTGGGTCTGGGGCTTAGTGTGGCAGGGGTGGGGGTCAGGGGCGGGGGCCTGCAGGGGCAGGAGTAGCTCTCACCTTGAGCAGGTGCCAAGCAGGGGCTGGTTCTGAACCCCGAGCCCCACCATGGACAAGTGCCCCCTGGCCCCCTCCACAACGTGGGGGCAGGTGGGTGCCCTGGGGCCAGGAAGTCTGAGCCCATCTCGGGGGACCCCAGCTCGAGAAAGGAACAAACGGAAGCAGGAAGGAAGAAGGGGGGAGAGTGGGGGCATATTCCCCAGGGTCAGGTGACCTGGGCATCCACCCCTCCGTTTCGCCTGCAGGGCGCTGAGCTGCCAGGTGCTCCCTCCTGCCCACCAGGTGGTCGTGCCGGGGTCCTGATCACACCTACACTGCTGGGCCCCTGCCCAGCAAGACATGGGAGGGCGCCCCCTCCCCAGCTGGCTGCCCTCTACGCCCTGCCCTGCCCTGCCCTGCCCAGCCCAGCCAGGAGGACTCTCCCATGGCCAGTCCCTGCCGGGCACCTGGGCGGAACGGCTCCCAGGCCCGGCAGCCCCCGCCCGCCCCCGAGGCCCGGCTCCTACCTGGCCGAGGCCTGCAGCTCTTGCCGGGCAGGCCCACCTCCACCTGGGTGCAAGCATTTATAGCCCGGCCCTGCAGCCGCCTGGGCTGGCAAATATTTGGTGATGGCATTGTCATCGCAGACTGGGCAAATAGAGTCCGTTTGCTTTAGCGCCCGGCAACCAGGGCCCCGCGGTGGGGGGGGCCTGCGGACCGGCCTCACCTGCACGCAGCCTGCCCGGGGACCGTGGAGTGTTTGCCGCCTGCCCAGCTGGCTGCTCCCTGGGCCCCGGGACCCTTATCTCTGCCGCTGATGGGGCCTGGACCAAGCCTTGTCAAATAGGCGGAAAATTAAATTTCATGCTATTTTGAGTTCTGGAGTAGCCTCTCTAGAGGACATCCTGCTCTGCAGCAATCAGAGAACGGCGCTCCAGGCTGGAGGCAGAGGGAGGGAGAGAGGCCCCGGGACCACCTGCCAGGGCCCAGGGTGGGCCCCCTGAGCCCCTGCCCAGCCCCCTCCGGCCACACGGTCCTCCTGGGCTGCGGTGACCCATTTTAGCTGGCCCAGAAGCAACTGTGGGGGGGACCCCCCATGGCTGCCACCTCCCCTGGTCCAGGGCTCAGATGTGTCTGTGATAATCTCCTGAACCCTCTACTGTGTCCAGGCCTGGCTGAGACGGCGCCTTCCCTCCTCCTCTGGCTGCAGCACCGCCCCCCGCCCCCGCACATCCCCCCTCCTGCTGCCCCCGTGGAACCTGCCTGGCTGGCGTGTCCCTCAGAAGCGCCCAGAGGGCCTTAGCCTTTCCTGACAGCTCCCTGACTCCCCGCTGGCGGGCCCCAGCCGGTCCGCCAGGCCCAGTCACTGCACACCAGGCGGCTAAGAACAGAGACCCCACACGGTCCTCCAGCCCGGGGCCCCAACCAAGCTGTCACCCGGACCGGGTCCTTCCAGAGGCCCCAGTCGGTCCCCGGCCTCGCTCCCAGTCCTTGGTGAGCCTCTGCCTCGCAGGTGACCGCTCCGGTGCTGCCTCCGTCCACCCATGTCCCCGTGCACGTCCTCTGCCCTTCCCACGAGGACACCAGCCTTGGATCCACGGTCCACCCTAGTGCAGTTGGACCTCAGCTTACCTAGTTGCATCTGCAGTGACACTTTTTCCAAACAAGGTCACATCCCGAGCTTCCAGGCAGACGTGGCTTTGGGGGACACTCTCAGCCCTGTGTGGGTGCCCTGCGTTTGTGGCTGTGGCCCTGCCTCGGTGTTCCCCAGAGGTGGCCCCTGCCAGTGCAGCCCTCGTGGCGCCGGCTGGGAGAACTCCGGACACTCTGTCCGGGCCCCAGCTCCTGATCTTTGCCTGCCCGGGGGCCCCTCCCTGGCCAGCCCCCTCATACCCAGTGACAGCCACACGTGTGGGGTCTGAACACAAACACAGCCCCGCCTACATCTGGGCCCCTGGGCAGTTCTCGGGTACCTGGAGGGCAGATCTCGGGGGTCCGGGGCCACCGCAGCCACTTAGTGCTAAGGAGGCTGTTGGCGTTTCCGAGTGACAGGGAAATGCAAAGTCCGACCCCCAGGGCGAGATCCTCCCCAGGTTGGGACAGTGGCCTTCAGGAGTGGTTCTGGAAAGACACTGCTGTCCCCTGGCCAGGGGCGGGGTCCCCTGCAAGGAGTGTGGACAGGGACGGCATCAGCACAGCCCACCTGTCACTGCCCCTCGTGGACGGGAAGCTGAGCCCACGTCCTGGCGAGGTGGGTCTGGCCACGCCCCCTCCTAAGAGCCCGGCCAGGTGGGGACATCTGTCCCCAAAGACTGACCTCAGGCTCGACCAGGGTCTGCCCTGGGACTCCAGGGTGAGAGACACTTGCCCGGCCCTGGCTGTGGGGGCCTGCGCCAGCCTCGGCCGGCCCTCTGCCTGCCTGCCGGCCCTGGTCTGCCAGGACGCGGGGCCAGGGAGGAAGGCTGCGGCCGCAGCACCCTCTGCCACGCGGCGTGGAAAGGACAGGCCTGCAGGGCAGGAGCAGGGCCCTCTGGGACCTGGGACAGAGGACCCAGGAGGGCCCCGAGTTCCACCCTGATCAGCACAGGAGCGGAGGTGCCACATGGAGGCCGTGGGCACAGGCCGCTCGCTGCCAGCTCCCGCACACCTGGGCGTGGCGTGGGGCGATGAGACTCCACTTGGCCCAGTGTGATCAGGGGCTGCTCGACGGAGGTGGGCTGTGGGGTGTCCAGCGCAGGGAACAGTCTGGAAAAGCCCCCGGCCCCTGCAGAGCTGGGAGCACCCCCCCATGCTGAGTGACGGTGACGGCCCCAGGACGTGCACACCGGGTTCCCAGGAGCCTCACAGGGCTCTGCAGGTGTGACTGAAAGGATGACCTTGAGGGGGAGGTTACCCCGGGCCGTCCAGGTGGCCCAATGTCATCGCAGGGGTCCTTGTAGGAGGGGGCAGGAGGGCGGGAGGCAGAGGCCGGGTGATGCCGCGCTGCTGCCCTGGGGGTGTGGGACGGGCCCCAAGCCGGGGGGCCTCGGGAGCCCCTAGGGTGGCTGGCGGACACCTGCATCTCGGCCGGAGACGCCCAGACGCCCACTCGGGCCTCTCAGCCCCAGGGCTGTTGGGTCAGGGCGTGATGCTTGAAGCCACTCAGCTGTGGCTTTTGGTCTCAGTGCCACCGACACCCTGAAGGGGGGCTGGGCAGCAGGGCCCCCAGCCATGGGCACCAGAGCCGGGGCCTCAGCACCTCTGTCGCTGGAGAGACCCCCAGTGTGGGGTGATCGGCCCCCCATGAAGAAGGTGCACATGGTCACCCCACATCACCCCAAACCTCCCTCCCTGGGCCCTGGGTTTACCCCCAAGACACAGCTCTTCCCTCGGTGAGCAGGGCCGGGGCCGTGACGGGGGCCCGGGTCCCATAAACGCCTCTGTGCGCAGGTGCCCACCAGTGCCAGCCCGTCCTGGGGTCTCTCTGCCCGACAAGAGACGGAGGGGAAAACCACAGCTGGGACGGAAGATCCTGGAGTGGGGACAGAGGCGTGGACGGGACTTTGGGAAGGGGCCCCCTGGCAGTGCGGCGTGGGGCTGACATTGGACACTGGGCCGGGGGCTTGAGGCCAGGAGTCCAGGGAGGGGACACTGCTGCAGTCCCCGAGGGACACTTTCCAGCCTGGCACTGGGTGTCCCCAGCCCTCCACCCCCGCCAGCCCTCCCCTGTCGTCAGGCTCCGCCGGGCAGCCCTTCCCGTCCCCACGCGCCAGGAAAATCAATAGCTCCAATATGCCAGCTCTCGAGAGGCGCAGCTATAAATTACCCGCCATGGAGCTCACGGGCCACAGCCCCATTAGTGGGGCATTAGGCCTCCCGTGAAATTTCTCTGTGTGCTTTGAGATAACGACGCTGAGGTGTTGGTTTATGTCCCGGGAGGGGGAGGTGGGACCGGGAGGGGGAGGTGGGACCGGGGGCAAGACCAGGCTGGCCGGGCAGGGAGGCCCCGAGACACAGGCGTCCCTGGTACGTCGGTGGCTTTTCCCGCTCGGGGCTCCACAGCATCGGAGGGTCAGACAAACACAGGGTTTGGGGCGTCCGCACCCTCCAGCCAAAGGCCACGGGGAACAGGATGCACCACTGGGGGACTCAGCGGCAGGACTTTGCCCTGGGCTGGATCCTGCCAGGAAGCACCTGTGACAAACCACCACGATCTGGGTGACTTAGAACAACAGACATTCACTGCCTCGCGCTCTGGAGGCAGAAGTGCAAACCCAGGTGCCGGGCCGTGCGCCCCTGACGGCTCCGGGGAGAGTCTGTCCCAGGCCCCGCAACCGTCTTCATGTGTTGCTGGCACTGCCACCCTGATATCCGCCTCTGTGGTCCCCCTGCCTCCCCCCCCCATCTCTGTGTCCTCTCCCGGTCTTACAACGCCACCGGTCATTAGGCTCGGGGCCACCCTAATCCAGCATGACCTTATCTTGACTAACCACGTCCCTATTTCCAGACAGGTCACGTTCTTGCGTGCCGGGGACATAGATTTGGGGGCACTGTCCAACCCAGGACAGCGACTTCCAGGCCTTGTGGCGGCCAGAGCGAGTCGTGGAACGCCCATTTTATAGCTGTGGCCACCGAGGCTCGAGGACTTAAGTTGTCCGTCACAGGTGTCTCCTTTCTGTCTCCAGTCCAGGATGGTCACCGAGACAGAGGCTGGTCAGTGGCCCCTCAGAGGCTGAAGGATGCCACTTCAAGGTGAAGCCTCAGCCCACACACTGCTGCTCTGGGCAGCTCTTGCCCGGCTGACCTAAAGTGTCCCCTCAGGCAGCTGCACCAGCCTTGGCTCCATCCCTGACCTCGGGGCCCTCTGATTGACACCTCCTCCAGGAAGCCCCCCATGGGCCGCACACCAGGATGATTTTGGCCGTCCTCTCATGCACAGTGGGTGCCCCAGGGCCGTGCAGGGAGTTCTGGGGTGGAACCAGTAGGGCGGGGCCCTGTGGGCAGGGGCTGGGCACACAGGTGCCTCTGTTGACACAGAGTTCCGAGCACAGCCCCGGGTGGGGCCTCTGGGGTGGGGAGGACTCCCAGGTGTCCTGAGCTCAGAACACCCCAGGGCCCCTCCCGTCCCTGCTGGAGGGCTCCGGGCGGGAGCCCATCTGCGTCTGGTGCTTCTGCCGCCGCCTTCCGGGACGCAGGCGCAGGAGAGGCATGCTCCGGAGGCAGGGATGCCAACCTCAGGTGGTGGGCGCGCTAGGGTCCCGGGGGCTCCTCTGGGGCGTCCCTAGAGCAGATTCTGGCTCAGAGGAAGGGGCCTGTCCAGGACCACCGGCCGCATATGCTGCGGCACGCAGGCCGAGGTGCTAGTCACCCCCCAGATGGCAGCCGTGGGCCGAAACTGTGGCAGAATCGGGGTTGCCCAGGCCCATCCTGGGGGGACAAGGTCCTCCCTCCACCAAGCGGGGAGGCCAAAAGCTACAGTTTTGGGGGGTGTGACTTCCTCTCTGAGATTCTGGGCGTAGGGAATGACGTGTTTTATTGTCTAAATCAAAATAACTGTACTTCAAGGCCTTTACTTTTCCCAGAGTGTGTTCGAGCCCAAGCAGGTCCCTGCCCGCTGCTCCAGAGGAAGCCAAGGCGCGGAGACAGCAGGGCCACGGAGGAGACAGAGTTTAATGTCGCAGGTGCGTGTAAGGGGAGGGGGCGGAGTCCTCACATCCGTCTCCTGAGAATTTGGGAGAAAGGGTTTGTACAGGCAGTTTGGCGGGCACAGGGCAGGCAGGGGGTCCGCTGCTGGCTGGGCTCTGGGCGGAACCGCCGGGGGGGGTGGAGTGGGAATTGTCTTCTTTCTTGTGTTGAGTTGGTTCTTGGGTGGGAGTCGCAAGACCAGTGGAGTCCGTTCCTTGGCATGGCCGCTGGCCTGGGTGGGTCACCGTCCCACCGGATGCAGGGCCCGGAAGATGTCTCAGAACCAGCCTCAGGTTTCACGAGGGTGGCGCTATCTGAGGGAGCAATGAAGAAGGCTAAGAATCTCTGTGACTCCTGAGTCGTGAGCAATTTGCAGGAAAGCCAGCTGGGGGACAAGGCTAGTTATATATAAATTTCCCCTACCACAGTTCCCACCTTGTGGCCCTTTATTAATTTTATAAAGGACAGCTTCAAAGGGGAGGGATTTAAGTTCTGTCTTGCCGCAAAGGGCCCCTGCCTTCCCCACAAGAAGGTGGGGCAGCAAGTTGTGGGAGGTGAACCTCCTGTCTTTAGGGCGGTCCTGTCGCTCCAGCGTGCTCCTTGTCCAGCCGCCGTGGGGAGTGGGTCCTTGTCTGTGGCCTGGTGAGGACAAGGGGTCTTCCCACAGGCCCAGCCCAGCTGTGAGAGTGCTGGCTGCCGCCCAAAGCACTGCCCCTTTGGGATACGTGTGGGAGTGAGGCAGGGCCCCGCTGTTAGCAGAAAGGCCTACATCACTCCAGATGCCTGAGAAGTCACCTCCCTGTCTAGACTTCTGCCCTTAGGCACCCCGCCCCCGCTCTTATTGGCACAAAACATAGTTTTGGAGGAAAACAAAAGCATCTATCTGAACTCTATCCGGGGAGAAAGGACCTCAAAGTTTCTGGGATTTGAAACCGTTCACCCTACGGCGCAGGGAAGCGTGGGGGCTGGGGGTGGGGTTATTTTTTTGTGTTGAGCCACAGCTTCAAGAACAAAACAGATTACTAATTCAACCCATTAGCCTGTCCTGTGGTAAATCAGTTGTATCTGGCTTATATTTTCCATGACGCACGGTAGCTTTTATTCGGCATAAAGTACACAGAAGATAATATTTAGTATGGCTGGTTCTGAAGACGGGACGTCCCTAAGTCACAGGTCCTAGTTCAGACGTGCATGTGATTTCCAAAAACCACCTCTGCACGGAGTGTCGCGACGTCCGTGCCCCTATGTGGCCTGCAGCCAGAGCCAGGGACAGCCTTGTGCGCTGAGGACCAACGGCTTCCCCGCGAAGCCCAGTGGGGCACCGGGCCGAGCAGCGCGCCCTGGGACCCCTGGCGCGGCCGTGAAGGCTCCCCACCCACCCTTCCCGAGCGCGCCCCAGCTTCGGTTTGAGCAAGGACGGCCGCGGGCCCGGGCGTCGGGTCGGGGCTGCCCGCTGTCCCCACTGTCCCCGGGGGCGCTGACAGGAGGGGAGGAGGGCGCGCGGCCGGCGACCCCGGCCAGCGGAGGGTCGTGGTCTGAGGCCAGGACACGAGGTCTACCCAGGCCCAAAGTCCTGGCAACCAACCAAAACAGACCCGGCGGCGGCCAGGCCCGGGCAGGAGCGGCCGGGCAGCGGCAGGGCCCAGGCGCCGATCTCCTGCCTGCCAGGGCTGGCCCACCGAGGACGCCCTTAGCGCGGGCCCGGGGCCTCTCTCAGGCAGGACGACGCCCGCCCACTCCCGCCGCCAAGGAAGGACCTGGCGGTCGAGCTCCTCGGCGAACGGGATGGAGAACTACATCTCCCGGCATGCCCTCGCGCCAGCCCGGGACGGGGCCTGCGACGGAAAAGTCCGCTGGAGGAACGCGTCATTTCCGGTGCGCGACTGGGCACACGTTCTGGAGTCGTGAGCGGAGGCCTGCCATGACGTCCTGGTTCCGGTTTGGTGCGACGGAAGTGACGCGAGGGCGGCGCGCCGCGGAGCCGAAGTAGCAATGAGTCGTGTCCTGTGTGCACCGGCGGCCGGGTGAGCACCGTGAGGTCTCGGCGGGGCGAGGGCGGTTTCCAGCGGGCGGGCGGAGCGCTCAGTGCTTTTTCTCTTCCAGGGCCGTCCGGGGGCTCAGGCTCGTGGGCTGGGCTTCCCGAAACCTGCATCCGCCGCCCGGTGGCCGGGCCGGGGACCAACCCGCGGCGGAGAGGGAAGAGGACGACCCTGACCGCCCGGTTCAGTTTTCCTCCAGCAAAGGCGTCCCGTTACGCTGGAGTGTGGAGCAGTCCCTGGGGAAGGAACAGCAGCGGCCCTGGTGGAAAGTGCTGCCCTTCAGCCTCTCCCTCATGGTTCTGGTCATCTGGTTCTACCTGAGGCCAGAGAGCGACACGGACCAGTGGTTGAGACAAGCGTTGGGAGAAGAGGTGTCGGAGCCTGGAACTCAGGCTGCCCACGGGGCGAGGACTTAACGCGGTGCCCGCTAGGGCCAGCAGGAAGGGAACAGGCAGCCGCCCTTCGGATTCGATGTCGCGTTTGACCGTGACCGTTCTGCCCTGGTAATGCGTGCGTCTTCAGCGCTAAAGGACTTGGATGGCACACTTGGCCGCGTTGAACCCCATAGAGGCCGAGCAGGATGTCACCAGATCGGAACCTGCTCGTTGCCTGACGCTTGACGTCCAGCGATTCCATCCCCAAGACTTTTCAGAGCCGTAGGAAAGGTTTTACTTGCACCGTGTACCGTTGGGTTTGTGATGTCTTTGTACAGCATATAATCATGTTTCCAGAGCACTTCTGGTAACACTTGTCATTTGCTTTGTGAGACAGGATAACTGGCAGAAGTGTTAACCTTTATTTTATAATGTAGTGTGTGTAAATATCTATTGATGTTTTACACACTGACAAATTGAAAATAAATTTTGATTTTATAATACAGAATTAAGACGATTCCCTTTTCTGCATCTAGTAAGAAAACGAGTATTTTAGTAAGCCAACAGCCACCTTTTTAAATTTATATGTTTTCCTTTTTTTTCCAGAGTGGGAACTGAGAATCTAACCTAAATGTAAATTGTGGAATACATTATTAAATGGTACCAGAAATAAAGAATTTTCTCAGCTTTCTGCAAAACTTTATTTTTATCTAGCTAGGCAACAATTTTCTGGGTAGAATACAACTGATGAGTATTTTTTTCACAAATTATGGTCCTTATTTTGGGTAACCTAGACGATATTTTTTTTTCTAAGTATTAGGAAAAACCTGCTTTATTCTGTACTAAATATAAGTTACATAAAAGGAAACTTATTTATTTGAGCTTCTGGTGGAAGGTTTTACTTTAACATGTTTGTGGTGCTGAAGTGGGGGTTTTTCTGATTTGGATGTTTGAAGAACAGGTTTTTGACCACTCTGGCCAAATGGCAGTATACTGACTTCTCATGAGGTCTCTGTGCAGAAGTGCTCCAGCTGTCTGGGACACCTTCATAACTCATGCTTGTGAGAGAAGTGGGGTGGATACAGTCTTTTTTTAAAGACTGTGAGACCGAAGTTTGCAATAATTGACCTAATCTTAGCTCACGTTACACCATCCCAGTGGGGGCAAAGAACTCAGATGTCCTTGTTTTTGCCTGGTGTGGTTGTGACTATTTGGTTGTGAATCATTTGGTTTGAGTAGAAGTCATTCAGACCCGAAGGCTTAATTTTACTTCACTTGCAGGGGGCAAAAAAGTCAGAACTAATAAGAACTTTTGTCTTTTGTGTTAATTAAAAGTAACTTTCATATGACAAAAGCAATATATATATATATATTTTTTTTTTTTTCTGGAAAAGTTAGACCCTGAAATAAGCAAAAGGAAGAGAATCAGAAACACTGATAATCCCACTACCTAGAGGTAACCACTGAGAATACTTATTTGCCTTTCCAGGTTATTGTCATGCATATATAAATACAGCTTTTTCCAAGGTACGAATGGAATAGTAAACCTGAAAACATGATAGCAGCTTAAAAAAAAAAAAGTGGGATAGTAGCATCGTGTTTGATGAAGCCACCTCCAGGGCAGCCATCAGTAAGGGCTGTTCCACTTGGTGACTTCACACGGGTGATGTGGATAAACTTTGTCATGAGCAAAAGGAGGACGGAGGTCAGCTGGGGACAGTGGGCAGAACTTCCCCACACCTGGAGTTTTCAAGGGGTGACAACAGCAGATTGACAGGTGAATAGTTAACTCAATCCTTTCCTTATTCAACTTTTTTGGAGTGCAGTTGTCTTATTTCCCCAACTGGACTGTGGCTTTTATTTTTCCCAGGTTACTAGACACATTGACACCCCAGATAAGTGCTCAGCAAGGAGGGAGGGCCGTTGTAAGGATGCTGGGACAGAAGCAGTTGCACGGATTTGATTTGCAAGATGTTAAATTGTTGGGCAGGAGGAGGAAATGGTTTGTGAACGATCTCCAAGATCTGTTTCTTACTCCTCTGGAGAATTCTTGGGTCCTGTTCCTCCTCACTTCATTCTCCTGCTTGGTTTATGTTATGAAAATATGTTCTTAATTTTATCATTTTAATTTCAAGATTTAAATGTAATGTTTATAGATGTAATAATTCATTTAGACAATTCGAACATATGAAGAAATCCTGCCAGGGCGTGATAACTTTCGTTACTTTACTATGAGTATTTCAGAAGATAACTTACATTTTGGAGCAACTATGAAAGTGTTTTCTCTTGCTTTTAACCTAAATGGGAGCTTTTTTTAGACAGAGTCTGGCTCTGTCGCCCTGGCTGGAGTGCAGTGGTGTCCTCACAGCTCACTGCAGCCTCCCATTCCTGGCCTCAAGCGATCCTCCCGCCTCGGTCTCCCACGGTGCCGGGGGTGCAGGCGCCGAGCCACCTGGCGGGAACACGTTATTTTCACGCAGGTCTGGCCCGCAGCCCTCCGAGCCTGCGGCGACCGCGCGTCTCCCCGGACGGAAGTCACGACGGTCGGGCCCCTTCCTTAGGGCACAACTCGGAGGTCTGGAGTCCTGCCGCGGGCAGCCACCGCCGTCTTTAGACCCGCGCCCCCGCCCCACCGCCCGGGGACAGCCGCCCGCACCCACCGGCCGAGGTGGGGCCTCGGCGGCCCGCGGCCGCAAAGTGCGCCGACGGACGGGGCGCGCCCGGGTGGGGGGTGGCGTGCCGGCGTGCCCGCGGGCGGGGCGCGTGGGCTCAGCGCGGGGGGGCCGGCGGGCGCCGCGCGCTAGCGCGCTGCATTGTTTGACTGAAAATGCCGTCGGTTTCGAAAGCGGCGCGGCGCGCGTGACGGTCCCCCCGCAGACCGGAGAAGCCGACCACGTACAGTCAGTGCCCGCGCGGGCTCCGCGGCGCTGCGGGCGGCAGGGGGCCCCGTGCGCTCCTCCGCGCGCCGCGCGCCGGGGCTGGGAGTCGCCGCGGCGGCCCGGCCGCCTCCTGCGCGCCGCGCCGCTCGGCCTCGGCGCCGCGGGGACCCGGGCTGGGCGCCCGAGGTCGAGCGGCGCCCGGGTCTGCGAGCGCCGGGCGCGGCCGGGCTGGCGTCCGGCTCCAGTCGCGTCGGCGCCTGAGGTCGGGCGTCCGAGCGTGGCGGGGTGGGGGCGCGTCGAGCCGTCGGAAGTCCGAGTGAGAATCCGGGAATCCGGGTCGGGACCCGCGCCCGGCTTGGGGTGCGCCCGGGGTCGGAGGGTGCGCCCGGGGTCGGATGGGCGTACTCGGGTCGTGAGGTGCCCTGGGGACCCTGCGCCTGAGACCGTGCCGGGGTCGGGGACCATGCCCGGATCACGGGGCGCTCCCGTGGTCCAGGGGCGCGCCTGGGGTCGAGGATCCGCTCGGGTCGGGACCGTGCCGGGTCGAGGGGTGTGCCGGGTCGGAGGGCGTGCCCGGGTCGGGACCGTGCCAGGGTCGGGGAGCAACAAGGTCGAAGGGCGCGCTTCGGGGTCGGGACGGTGCCGGGGGTCGGGGACGATGTCCTGGGTCGAGGGGCGCACTCGAGGTCGGGACGGTGCCCGCGGGGGGCACCAGGGTCGAGGGCGCGCTCGGGGTCGGGGATGGTGCCCGGGTCGGGACGTGTCCTGTCGGGACGTGCCGGGGTCGGCGGCCGCGCCTGGTTGAGCGGCACGCCTGGGGTCGGGACCCGCGGGTGCGGGACGGTGCCCAGGCGGGTAAACAACGGCCCCCCACGCCCCAAAAGCGAACCGGAGCTGCGGGTAAGCCGCGTGGGGCGTATACTGGACTCTCAAGCTGGGCGCGTCAGCCGGCCGGCCGGTTCGCCCCTCGGATCTGGCGCCGGGCGGCGGGAGGCGCACCCGCCGAAACGCGT